TTTTTTTGTTGAGAGATGTTTCGCCCTCCATCCGAAGGGTTTTATTAATCTGAGAAGTTGCATAACAAACTGGTTGTTCCACTGCTTGGTGGAAAATAGTTTTGACTTCTCAGATTGATGAAGCCCTTTGGATGGAGGGTGAAACATCTCTCAACAAAAAAAGGAACTGTCCAGCTGACCTGACTGAACATTGTTGGATTTCTTTACCTGGATTATTGAGCATGAACTTTGAAATCACTTTTGGCCCTTGGGCCAGATGTTGCCCGCAATGTTCTCAATCAAAAACACAAAATCAACATTTATGATTAATTAAAATCCTTAAACTCAAGGCTTGTGTGGTAAATTAACCTAAAGCCAACATCATGATGACTGTGTATATCTTTTCTAAACTAAAATATGAAAAGACAGCTTGTCTGAGAAATCTTTAAATATTAAAATGCACTCTTTAATAAAAATAGAACAGGGAAACACAACACTTCTCTACCCTCAGTTTTTTTTGTTGTTTTTTTTTCATAATTATCCAGGCCGAGGAAATACAAAAATGAAATTCCATGCTTTAAGAACTGTAGGTATTCTGGACAGGCCACAGAGCTGCTTCTCTTAAAAATATTCCAACAAACTTTTGCTTTTTTCTTTGTCTGACGTCACAGGAAAGAATCAAGGACTTCTCACTGTGTGTAGATGTTGCACCATCATTATCTCTGTCCCAGTATCACAAACCACTGTGGAGCTCGTGTGTACTTTTGAGCTGCAGAAAACTCAAATCTAAATGTATTCAGCCGGTCACGGACATTAGCCAATAATAATCAGTTGGTGCATGTTTATTTCCCTATTTTTTCCTCGTCCAGTTCTCCATGGCGTAGAGCGGATGCTATCAGTGTCCGTTCATCTGCAGATGTTTTTGTTTTTACTTTATGTTGTAAGAGAAAAAAAAAATACACAAAAAATGATTCCAAGAAAAAGAAACTTCCTTTAAAAGTTGAGTTTTGTAACTAAACTTTGCTCAAGGGCCCACAGAGAGTCAAACGAGGGTGGAGGCAGGTGTAGATGCTTCAACTTTTCCACCCTGTATTTTGATGTTGTCAGTCCAGGGAGTCGAACCAGCAACCGTCTGATCACAGGCTTGCCTTCTCTAGCCTCTGTGCCACCACTCCCCTTTTCAAAACCATCTTCCATGCCGTGCACAATATTTTATTGCCCACATCAGATAAGCAGATTTGGACTAGTTTTTAAACCTGGATGTTTCCTGTCAGAGGACAGCTCTCATGCAAGAGTGAAAATACTGATGTAGTGCTCTTAAGACAGGTTGGAGACACCAGGGACAGAAATGAGATGAGTCTGAGATACCAACAACAACTTTGACTATTTAGAGAGAAAATTTGTTGCACAATGTTTAGGACCATGTTCAAAAGTCAACTAACAACACTGTGATCTTCTATGACTCATGCAAGGCAATACATAACCCTTGCAAACATTTTGAGACATTTTGGAAACTCCGTTGTGGCTACAGTTCACCAGCAAGATGTCAGCTGTCGAATCCCACTGAGATACTGACTCATGAACCCAAACTGTGACTGATTGGAGACACAAAAAAAAACAATCAACTGTCATTAACTAAAACAAAATTAAGGCATGATGCATAAATTACAACACGCGGTTATGTCGTTGCAGGAATGTCACAATTTATTTGCAGTTACCTGGGTATACAAACATGTCCTATAAGTGCCAGCTAATTAAGACACAAAGTTATGAAATCGCATCATTTGCAGAACAATAAGTGTACTGTACCTAGGCCTGTCGCGATAAACAATAAATCACTTAATCGCATGATAAATGAAAAATATCGACCTCGTTTTCATTTATCGGCTTTATCGTTTCTTCGTGTCTCTCTCTTTCTACTGAAGACACTGGATGACAAAAGGCTCAACTCCAGTGCTCTTCACTGACTCCTCCCTTTCTCTTTTATCTTTAAAATCCGTTTTAACCAACCAAAATTGCGTTTTTGGATCGTTTAAAGCAGCTAAGCTGAGAAGCTAAGCTACGAGCTAAGCTAACAGGCCGACTTCGGGAAAAAACCTCCGTCTTGTCGAAGCTACAAAATTCATGGTTGAAACCCGTGCCTTTGTCTAAAATATCCAGATGCATGCTCAATAATCCAGGTAGAACAGCCACTGGCCCAAAGGATGGCCCAGCACAGAAGAGCAACACCATCAGGCCAGGACTCTGCGGTCTACACTCATCTCCAGGCCAGCGGTCACTCTTTCACCGTCACCGACCTACACAAGCCGAGGCCAGTGAACAAGGCCAGGCTAATTCTGGCAGATCCTGATCACCACTCCATGTTGAGTTCAGGTATCTGCTGCCCAGATGTAGAACAGACTGTGAAAAGCTCATTCTTCCCTGTAGAGATCAGGCTTCTCAAAAAACAGTGATGTTTTCATGTATTATTTTAATGTCTCAACGTCTTATCTAGTATGGATTTTTTTGTGATTAATGACTGTGAAACAAATTACCCCTTGGGGACAATAAAGATTCTTGAACTTGAATTAGTTGCAACCCGGTGAGATACTAGTTTACAGTGAGTTTAAAAAAAAAACCTTTGCAAACATTCTTGACAGCATCACTCCTTGACTCTCTAAGAGGAAAGCAGTTATCAATCATCTCCTCCTTCTCTACAAACAATCATTTTCTAATGGAGTTCAAAAACTACACTACCCATAACCCACCCCCACATCGCTTTCTGTCATAATAAGAATTCTGTTGAACTCCAATCTAGTTTTGTCCAACTTTACAGATCTTGTGTTGCTGAAGCTGCGGCCTGAAGATAAGTGTCATTGTATTACAGCTCACAGAGGAAGCAGCAGTCAGCTGTTTCACCACCGAGGCAGTTTTTATTACCGACACAGAAAAACGTAACGCAAGGTGATCTAGCTAAGCTGCACCAATACAGTGCAGGACGGTCGACATGCTAGACCTTTTTAAAGGTCTAAGGTGATGTAAAGAATTGTTTTACTAGAAAGAACAATCACTCTGAGGCAATGGTAAAAAAAAGGTTAAGCACCTAAAAGGAATCTGAAGCGGGCACGTCTAGAATGGACTTCAGAGGTCACGATGTTGGCCTGAAGAGTGGAGTGATAATTTCATCAGCAGCACCCTTCCAACAGTGAGAACAGTGAGTGAAGGTCACCAGACAGAGAAGGTCTCACAAATACATCAGAGAGTATTACAAGCACATGATGGGTGGCATTGTGGGTTATAATAAGACCTGGTAGCAGTACAATGCAACTGCCCAGCATGTGGGACAGATAGATGTCTCAGTGGGTTGACGTTGGGTACCAATGGGTCAGGGCACCCAGTGTAACATAACAGACAATAACAAAGGTCACACAGTAAACCAAACATTACAGAACCCGTATTATCTCTGCACCTGGCATCCAGATGTGGGTATTGAACTCCCCGTGTCATCCTGCACCATGTCTCAACAACTGGCATCAGGTGGATTACAGGTTCTCCCATGTGTAAACTGCTGTTAACACCAGAGCTGAACTGATGATGACTGGCATTGTACATCACTCTGAGATGGTTCTGCATCATTATGAATGACTGTTGTGGTCTCAGAGGGGAGAAAACCGATCCTGGCAACGTTGAGGAAAGACATACAGATATTACTCCTGCATGCTACACAGCTATACACTGACTTGGTGAAGGAGAGGATACAACAACTCTACGACTGCTCTGTTGTTGTTTCATTGCACCTGCTTGACACATTTTGCAGCTTTCTCCTTTTTTTTTTTTTTTACAGAATGTATTTGAGGTGTGGTGCCTGATTTAAACATGCACATATATTTTCAATATACATGGACAGCATTCAACTCTGTTGCATGTATGCATATATATATATATATATATATATGATTACGGCAAGTTATTGGTATGGATGTGGTCAAGTTTAAAGGAAATATAATGCAAGGCATGAATTAAAAAGTACTTTGAGTAAAGCGCAAGGTCCATTACAGATGTAAGCAGATGTTTAGCTTTCCCATTGAAGTCCATCAGAGCTGGCACAAAGTGGCTGATGTCCAACAAATCCTAAAAGCTTCAAGACTTTAGTGTCAAAACACAAGACGTCAGCATCCAGTTGGCTCTCATACATGTAATGCTTCATTTCAGTGTCACAGAGAAACTTTGTTTCTCCTACAAAAGCACAGTGACTTGTGTCAGAGAGCACCACAATGTTGCGAAATGTCCCTTTACCTCACTCGCTGCATGCTTTAACCTCTGCTTTTACCCTTTGCCTGTCTGCAGGAAGGACAAGTCTGCTCCTATTTTACACTAAACAGTGAACTGCTTGGCGTCACCAGACTGATGCACAACCAACATGAAAACACTGTTGAACACTCACTTGGTGTTGCAGGATAGTTTGCTGCACTACCCGAGCATAGTTGTCCAGTTTAACGCCAGAGTTGCTCCTGCTTCTCATGTTGTTTCACTTTAGTTGGCGTTTTTAAGAGCAAAACAAAACTCCTCAGAGAGTCGCCGGAAACGTCATGTTCCGTTTAGATTATTAAAATTCCCAACAAGCCGGAAAGAAAGTCGCTTTGCAGTCAGAGCAGGGAAACCGCCTGGCGTTAAAAAACAGCGAAGCAGCGAGAACTGCTGGTAACCTGAAGGCGCGTGCAGTCGGGCACCGGAAGCAGCAACCACACCGGTGTTGTGCCGAACATAGTACCCTAGCAGTATGACGGACTAAGTGTTGTTGTTTTACTACTTCCATATACCCAGTTAATGAGAGCTTAACTTTATTTAAAGATAAACATACGCTATTTTTTTCTTTAAATAAATAAAGCCACGCTAGTTTTTTCTAAAAAAAAATAAATAAATAAAACAATTAAACAAACAAACTAACAAAAAAACGAATGTCTTGAAATTTTTAATGGTTGCTACAGTCATAAAGTATATATAGTGTGTATATTGGTGAACATTTTTTTTCTTTTTCATGTTTTAAAAGTAACTGAAAACCTGGAGTCATTCCTACAAAGGGGGTACATCTTTCGGCGCAGCACCGGATGTTCGGTGTTGATACTGTCAAAATAAAAGTGTGAGAGATGCGCAAACTCTCCAGAGATTTTCACACGTGAAGTTTCTTTCAATGTTTTTGTTAAAGCCACTAGTTTTTCTGGAATTTGTCATTTTCAGTTTCTAAAAAAAAATTCCTCAGATCCGACAGACACGCCCCAAATATGAAATGTCAGAAGATCAATTGGTGTTTTTTTATTTTTTATTGACACAGTATTTAAAAAAATTGCAGCACAAACAACTCTTCTTTTAAATAGCTAACACTGGAAATAACATCGTTTTCTTGATTTAATTTATTTCAATAGGTTAATCTAAATACATTATGTCTTAATCACCTGAAAATAAAAACACACACAACCAACCAAATAACAATTTAAATTTAAACATAGAAAAAATACATTATTAATAAAAAGAAACAAGAAAAATAAAACGGCCTGACAGCTGTTTTTGATCATTCTTTCTATGATTTTTGAACAACTTCTGCCCAATCGTTTAACATTTTATTTCTTAATTCTGTTTAATTTGTGAACTTTCCTCACCAAACACAAACTCAGAACTGGTTCGTTTGATTTAGCTGCTTGATTTTGCCTCAGTGAAGCCGGTGCTCTACAGATTCAATGCAGAAATATTCAGCCATAGTGTTAAAGGTTAATCTCTCAAAATGTGTTATATGACACTTTAAAACAAATGTTTTTAAATACTTATAAAGCTACTTGTGGAGTGGAGAGGAACTTTGGAAATAAATTTATTTGGAAGTGATTTAATTTTGGAGATTTTGTGATAGATATTGATTAATTTGACTCAAATGTTAGTTAGGAAGCTGAATCCTTCTATTTTCTTTTGGTTGCTCTCTAAAAACAAATCATCCACAGTGGTAATCTAATTGTGCCCTCTGGTTTTCTTCACATTTGGGAGTCAAACAGGCTTTTAAGACCCTTGAAAGAAAATGTGGTTGGGATGTGGTGATAAACAAACAAAACTGTTCAATAAAGTTCGTTCTAGATTACAAACTTTCCCTAATTTTTAATGGTACCCTCAATTTGTTGCATCAACAAGTTGCGGTTGCAGTCATGAAATAATTCCTTACTTGGATACCAAGGTAAGTATTTTGTAAACAAATGTTATTTTCTCTAAAAACCTACAATGGAGAGAAATACATTTAATTCAGTTTAATTTAATACAGGACCAATTCACAATAAAAATCATCTTAGTGGTTTTTTTTTATTTTTACAAAAATGTCAAAATAAAATTCACAAAATTCAATCACTCAATCAATCAATCAGTCAATCAATCAATCAATCAATCAATCAATCAGTCAATCAATCAATCCACTTTGGCCTATTTGTAAATGTTTTCATAAACACAACTGTTATCTGGGGTCAAATATTTCAAGTTTAAATAATTTATTGTTTTTGTTTATGTACATTTCGTAAAGTACAATATGCCAAACAAACTGGCGAACACATATAAAACAGTTAAATAAATAAATAATAAATAACGATTTTAATAACAAGTATTTTACTCGAAAACAAACGAAACACTTAACTAAAATAAAATAAAAACTAGCTACGAAACGAAAAGACTACAAAAAAATAATCCCAGAATGCATCGCAGCTTGGTCCGTTTCTGAATGAAAACTTTTCCGCCTGAGGAACAATTGATTTAACTGTTGTTTTCTCTCACTCTCACTTCAAAAATATATACAATACTTACTAATTTTTTCAAATCAAAAATATTATATAATACACCTTTCTTAGTTTAAAAATGTAATTTCTTTGTTGGTTTTCACAACGTGTGTCTGTCGGTGACGGGGGGAATGTTGACGGTGTAACACCACACTCGAGACGAAGGACTGACTGACTGCATCTTTTTAGCTCCAGCTCTAAGAAGATTTGAATATTTTTATTTTGTCAAATGAGTAGCAGAGGAAACAGTGATGATGGGAGCAGCAGCACACGGAAAGTCGTCTATGTTTACAGCCCGGAGTTCATCCAGACTTGTGATACTTTATCCAAAGTACCAAACCGAGTGAGTTGAGTGAGAACACTTGTGCTTTGAAATCTTAAAGGCTAATCTGTGTTTGTTAACGTTTTAGTGTGTTTTTAGGCGAGTATGGTGCATTCACTGATAGAAGCCTATGGACTGCTTCAACACATGAGGTGAGTTTTACCAGATGCAGAAAATAAATGCAACCAGGGAGCTGTAGTGTAATGTATTACACAGAATTGTGAAGTAAATGTTTTAAAATGGTTTAATTAAGGCCAAACATTCACCAACTCTTCTCTTTTTTTGATGAAACATTAAGTATTAACTTTTATTCTTCATGTAAAAAAAATGGTATATGGAAAAATCACTATTAATGTGGGTGTTCTAGTCTGTGAGACATTAATTGTAAGGTTTTTGTAGATTCGGGAGTTAATTTAAACTTTATGTGACTCACTTTTTTCATTTTTGTAATAATTTTTACAACAATGTAACAATACACCATTCGATACCATTCAAATCCACTGGCTACCCTTGGTACTTTGAATAAAGATATAATTCTCTTCTACACTTACATGCAGAAATCTCAAGTTTTGGACTTAATCCCATGATTCTGCTACTTCCAATCTGGTATTATGTGTATTTTATAGTTTAGTAATAACAACAACAACAAAAAACACACAAAAATTGTTTCTGGTCTTAGCAATCCAACATTTATACTTTTTTTCCATTCACAAAAAGCCTACATATATTTATAGATAATCAATAATTATATAACAATTCCTGATCCATATGTTCTCAGTAAAGTCTTTGAAAAGATGTTTATAAAATTTTGCAAGAATATTTTCTTATTTTTATGGTATTTATGATATGTGCCATTTGCTTTTCGCGACCAGTCATCATGACAGAAACTGCTTTCAATAAATTCAAGATCAAATTGGGTTTCAAAGAGCTTGATCTCACAGCTGCCTTCTCTGGTGATCACAACATTTGAATTTTTCATCTAAAAGATTTAATTTGTTTAAAATTTCTTGTATAACAGAATGATCTGTGTTCAACACTGGCTGTTTTTCAATGTGAAAAACGTTAAAACATATTTTTTGGAGTTCCACAAGGCTTGGTTCTTGGTTCTCTTACTCTTGAACTTTTGCAAGTTCAAGTTCAAGATTCTTTATTATCCCCAAGGGTCAATTTGTTTCACAGTCACTAGGCACACAACACATCATACTAAACAAAACATTCAGACATTTAAATAACATAAATCATTGTTCGTTGAGAAGCCTGATCTCTACAGGGATGAATGAGTGTTCAGTCTGTTTGTTCTACATCTGGGCAGCAGATACCTGCGTCCAGATGGAAGTAGCCTGAACTCAACATGGAGTGGGTGATCCCGATCTGCCAGAATCAGCCAGGTCTTGTTCACTGACCTCACCTTGTGTAGGTCCTTGAGGTTCTGTAGGGCTATGCCAGCAGTTTTGCTGCACATCCTGACAATCCCCAAGAGTTTGTTCCTGTTTTTGCAAAAGTCCAAACCAACAGAAGGTGAAGGAAAAAGTTAAGCGACTCAATAAAACATGAATAAAACATTCTCATAAAAGTAGACTCAACAATAACAGAGCTTCCAGTAAAAATACATTCTCTGGTGGGCCGCCTTACAAAGTGAGTTCACATGGGGGTCAAAGGTCAGTTCATCAAGAACAGTTCCCAGATATTTATATTGATGCACCACCTCCACAGCTTCACCGTTAATGACCACAGGAGCTGCAAATGAAGAGTCTTTTCTGAAATCAATGACCACTTCCTATGTCTTAGAAACATTTATCTTTAAAAAGAAGAGTCACGCCATTCAGTGAAGTCCCCGACCACAGGTCCAGGGTCTGGGCCATCAGTGCTGAGAAGGGTCAGGATGACAGAGTCATCAGCAAGCTGTAAAATGTGACGCTGTGGGAAATGGCTGCAACAATCGTTTGTATATTAAATGAATAAAAGTGGCGAAAGAACTCAACCCTTGATGGGAACCAGTAGAGGACAGAAAGACATCACGAGAGAACCCCGTTGACTCTCACCTGCTGAGAACAAACAGTTAAAAGGTTCACAAGGCAACATGAGGCCAGAGTTGAGGCATGCTCCTTTTTGATGTTATCATGCAGAATCATTGAGTCCATCTTTGAGAGAGCTCAGTAATCTCGTGAACTGTACTATAAATTCTTGATGTTTGGATGTTCCAGCAAGATTTATGCAATCTGCAGGCTACCTTACCTTACCTTAGATAAATAATGGTACTAAGTGAATTTTTTTATGCATATGAATGTTTCTGTTCAGTGCCCTGAGAGAACTTCTATTGTGACTTGGCGCTACGTAAATAAACTGAATTGAATTTCGAGTCCACAGAAGGTTAATCTGAAATACGTGCTCATAGTTGGTTCAACTGAACAGAAGGAAATATTTTTTTTATGTTGTAGCCCTCCCTTTAAAACACAGTAAACATGTCAGAAATCTCTGACTTTGAGAGGCGCACAGCCAACAGTTTTTACAGCCCTCTAGAACTAATTCAAAGTCGAACAGAAGAAATGTTATTTTGCTAACGGACTCAGAACATGTGGTGTTGTGAGGCTAAGCTTCTTCACCCATGTGTGTTGTAGTCACTTACACTTAACACTTAATGGTTCATCTTACCACTTTGTCTGTTGACTTTCTTCTCTGTTTATATTTTATCAGTTCTTTTAGGTCATTGGAAAAAATAATAATTCAACCCAGAGATTTAAGTGGTGTAATTTTAGTGTTTTTTATTGTGCCATAACAATCTAGTTCCCTTTGTTCCCAGCTGAAATATTCTTTCATTTTATGTTTCTTTTCAGGTTAACGAGCTCTGTTGCCTCCTATTAATCCACGACTTGCAGCATTTAATTTAACGTGCGGTGTGTGTTGTTCTCTGGCTTTTCCACAGTGTTGTAAAACCTCATGCAGCCTCACTGGAGGAAATGGCCAAGTTCCATACAGACTCATACCTGGAACATTTGCACAAAATCAGCCAGGATGGAGACAATGATGATCCTCAATCAGCTGATTACGGCCTTGGTGAGGAAAGCAAACTCTAACCCTCAACTCTTCAATCTTTAATTTATTAATTTATTTGTTTTCATAAAAGTTTGTCCTTTTTTGTGGCTAATTGTGTGAACGCTTATGAAGCATTCACTCTATTGTGACACACTTTTCTTCAGTATGTTTTTAAGCGTACTTCTCGTTCCATATTTTTTGTGCTATTTCAACAAATCATAAAACGTTCAGCTCGTTCAGGAGAAGGATGTTATGACTTTTGGTATTGGTGCAACTTTAGCTTTTTGAAATATTTAAGCCGGGCAGCACGGTGGCACAACTGGTAGAGCTGCTGCCTCTCAGTGAGAAGGTCCCTGGTTCAAACCCCGGTCCAGGGGCCTTTCTGGGTGGAGTTTGCATGTTCTCTCCGTGCATGCGTGGGTTTTCTCCGGGTGCTCCGGTTTCCTCCCACAGACCAAAAACATGCATGTTAGGCTGATTGGTAACTCTAAATTGTCCCTAGGTGTGAGTGAGAGAGTGAATGATTGTTTGTCTCGTTTGTCTCTATGTGGCCCTGTGATGGACTTGCGACCCGTCCAGGGTGTACCCCGCCCCTCGCACAGTGATTGCTGGACATGGGCACCAGCGACCCCCGTGACCCAAAATGGAACAAACGGGTAAAGAAAATGGATGGATGGATGGAATATTTAAGCCTTTTCTGCCACAAAAAAATGAACTGAGCTAATTTTACATCCTGCACATCTTTAGATCTGACCTTTTACTGCTCCTTTCACATTTTGTTCTGCTTCAGCTTCTTTCAGCTTCCTGGTGCAAATTAAAAAAAAAAAAAATTCTGCTACTTTCAGCTAATTTCTGCTGTTTTTTTCGGCTGTTTTGAGCTCCTTTCAGATTCTTTCTGCTAACTACAACATGTTTGTGTTTCTTCTAACTTCTTTCTGCTAATTTCAGCTTGTTATATTTTGTTCTGTTACTAGAAGATTATTATGATTGAACTAATTGTTTGATAAAAGGGGCAGATATAATAAGATTTTTTCTTCTTTCTGCTGCCTTTCAATGAAATCTCTTGTGTTTTTTATATAGTTATGAAACCGTTTTGTATTTTTAAAATGAATAAACTTTTTACCATACCATTATACCATACCTTATACTCCTTTCAGCTTATTTCTGCTAGTTTTAGTTATTTCAGGTATTTAGCTGTTTTATGCTAATTTTAGCTTTATCAGCTAATTCCACATTTTTGCACCCATTTACACTTTTTTCAGCCTAATTCAGCTAAAATGTGCTTTTTCCACTTCCTTCTTGTAATTTCATATTTTTTCTGCCTTTTTAGCTGCTTTTCAGCTGTTAATTTCAGCTTTTTCGGATAGTTTCCACTTCTTTGTGCTCATTTTTGCTTCTTTCAGACTAATTGGGCAAACATGTTCTTTCTGCTTTCTTATGCTAATTTAAGCTTATTCTACCTTTTCAGCTAAATTTTTTGATTTTTTTTTTTAGCTAATTTCAGTTGTTTTCAGATAACTTCAAGTTTTTCTTGGTAATTCCTGCTACTTTCAGCCTAATTATCTTATTTCTGTTAATTTCATCTTGTTGTGCTCCTTTCAGCTTTTTTCAGCTAGTTTCAGCTTTTTCTGCTATTCCAGCGACTATTTAGCTGCTTTTATGAAAATTTTATGTTTTGTAGGCAATTCCATACATTTTTTTTAGATCGTTTCACCTCTTTCCACTTCCTTCTTGTAGGTTAAGCTTCTTTGCTTTTTCGGCTCCGTTTTAGATACTTTTGCTAATTAGTTTTTTTTTTTTTTAGCTGATTTCCTAAGTTTTTGCTAATTTCTACTTATTTACCATAAACCTAATTCAGCAAATATGTGTTCTTTCTGCTTTCTTCTGCAAACTTAGGTTTGTTCATTCATTTCAGCTACATTTCAGCATGTTTTGTAGCTAATTTCAGCTGTTTTTCAGCAAGTTCTTCAGCAGTAAGCATTCACACTGCATTTTCACAGGAAATGCAATTTCTCTAGTTTAATTCTTGTTTTATTTCTTAAACACCTTGAAAAACGCCTTAAACTGATCATAAACAGCAAAAACTAAACGTTTTATTCTCTGACCACCTGAGGGACGGTGGACTGTGAAATAGTTTGTGTTCCTTGGTTTTCAGCAAACACACGATTTGTTGCACTTTAACGTTTATCTCGGATGCACCAATGATGGAAATGTTTTGAAGGAGAAGACAGTCCTGCGCGTGGCCTGAGGGCAGCAGTGTTGCACTTTAAAAAACATTTTTTATCTGCTTTTTCATTTGTCTTCAGGTATCGGTGCATTTTTCTGAATAAAACATTGAGATGATCAAAACTTGATCCCTGGATGAAAACTTTTCTGTTTCTGTTGTCTCTCTCCATTCTCACTGCAATTAATATTTTCTCACTTTTATTTTGATTTGCCAACTCTTAATATTCATTTAGGCTTTTTTTTTTTTTTTCTTTTCATTACTTGTCTCTACGTCTCTTTTTATCTTTGTTCATCACATTTCTTGTATGACGTGTCCTTTTAACAGAAAATAAACTTAAACCAAAAACATTGTTCAAAACATCCATAAGGGTTTGAACACATTTTTCAGTTTGACAGTCCTGTGTATGTTTTATTGCTTTTGTACACAGTGATTACAGCTGCGGGGTTCTAACGAGATGAAATGAACATTAGTGCGTTTAACTGTTTTGTCTGTTTGCCTTCCTTTTCCTCCAGGTTACGACTGCCCGGTGGTGGAGGGTATCTTTGACTACGCAGCAGCAGTAGGGGGCGCTACAGTGACAGCAGCTGAGTGTCTGCTGGACCAGACGTGTGAAGTGGCCATAAACTGGGCAGGAGGGTGGCACCATGCTAAAAAGTAAGAGGATTGGTTTTATACATAAACATGAGCATTAGACAAGTTTCTGCTGCATTTTTTTCCTGTCTGCATTATTAATGTGTGAATGTTTATGAAGCATGCACTCTATTGTGATCCATTTTTCTTCCGTACATTTTTCAGCGTCTTTCTCATTCCACAATTTTTGTGCTATTTCAACAAATCATTAATCAAAACGTTCAGCTCGTTCAGGACAATCCTGCTATGACTTTTGGTATTGGTGCAGCTTAGCCTTTTCTGCCATTTATTTTCTCAGAAAATGAACTGAGCTCATTTTACATCGTTCATATCTTTAGATGTGTTTACAACCTTTTACTGCTCCTTTCATATTTTGTTCTGCTTCAGCTTCTTTCAGTTTCCTTGTTTAAATTTAAACTTTTTTTCAGCTCCTTTCAGCTGTCTTTTGGGGGGGTATTTTGTGCTCCTTTCATATTCTTTCTGCTAACTACAACGTTTTGTGCTTCTTCTAACTTCTTTCTGCAAATTTCAGCTTGTTAATGAAGCTTCTTTCTGTTTTTCAGATAAGTTCCACTTTTTTGTGCTCATTTCTGTTTTTTTCAGCTAATGTGTTTTTTTTGCTTGCTTTTTCAAATTTAAGCTTGTTCTACCTTTTCAGCTACCTTTTTGGCATTTTTAAGCTATTTTCAGCTGTTTTCAGATAAATTCCAAGTTTTTCGTGGTATTTTCTGCTACTTTCAGCCTAATTAACTTCATTCAGCTCATTTCAGCTTGTTATGCTCCTTTCAGCTAGTTTCAGCTTTTTCTACTATTTCAGCTACTATTTTAGCTGTTTTGTGATAAATTTAGGTTTTTCAGTTAATTCCACTTTTTTTTAGCTAATTTCAGCTCCTTCCACTTCCTTCTGGTAGTTTAAGCTTCTTTCAGCCTTTCCAGCTTCTTTTCAGCAATTTTTATTTGCTAAATTCAGCCTTTTTTTTTGCTAATTTTCTAATTTTTACAGGCAGAAACACTACTTAAATACATACTGCACACAACATACACCACACAAGTTGTGTGACAGGCCACTGCACAGGCAGAGAGCAACATTGACATTTTTGTGTCAACATTAAGTATTTTAGTTAGTTCATCATCGGCAACCCTTCTGTGGGGGGTGCCGCAGGGGCCTATCCTCAGTCCTCTTCTCTTTTCTTTATACCTGCTGCCACTGGGTGCTATTTTCCGTAAATACAACATATCCTTTCATTTCTATGCCAATGACTGTCAAATTTACTTCCCCCTGAGGCACAGTGGTGCACGTTCCATTCGACCTTTTCTTGACTGCCTGACTGACATCAGGGACTGGATGTCTTTAAATTTCTTAAGCTTTATTGAGAAGAAGACTGAAGTCATGTTGCTTCGTCCTAATGGCACGATCAAGAACCACGGTATCGACCTCTCCTCTCTAGCCCCGTTAGAGAAACAAATAGTCACAAATCTGGGAGTGAGAATGGACCCTTGTCATGTAAACATGATTGTTAAATCCTGTTGTTGTTTTTTTCAACTGAGGTGACTGTCTAAACTGAAGCCCATACTGTTCAAACATAACTTTGAGACAATAATGCATGCATTCATAACATCCAGGCTCGATTACTGCAATGCACTTCTGTTTGGAATCTGTCAGACCTCCATTGCATGATTACAACTGGTGCAAAATGCCGCAGCCTGATTTTTAACCAGTACATGTAAACAAAGGACCCAGGGGAAAATGTCTATTGCAGAGTCCCCAAAAGTCGACCCAGAATCCCCACTCAGTGACGATCATAACTCCAATAGTGCATCATGGTCACACCTGTAGCGTGGAAGTGCAGTGCAGGTGCAAAAGTCAAAACAAAGACAACAATGAATAAAAAAAACGTGAGTCGTAGCAGAGCTCTCATCAGTGCTGCCATGCTGCGGCGCACGTTGATGACGTCTGGATAGGATCTATCTTTTCTAGACAGATTTTAATAAAACTCTCAGAAAGTACTAACTGGATGGATCTCTACACCTGATTAACTTTTGTAATCAACCTAATTCAAGATGGCTGTCAAATAGGCCTGTCGCGATAAACAATAAATGAATTAATCACATGATAAATGAAAATTATCTACCTCATTTTCATTTATCGACTTTATCGTTTTTTCGTGTCTCTCTCTTTCTACTGAAAACACTGGATGACAAAAGGCTCAACTCCGGTGCTCACCGACCCCTCCCTTTCTCTTTTCTCTTTAAAATCTGTTTTAATTGTACAAAATTGCGTTTTTGAATTGTTAAAAGCCGCTAATCTGAGAAGCTAAGCTACAAGCTAAGCTAACAGGCCGACCTCGGGAAAACACCTCTGTCTTGTTGAAGCTCCAAAATTCACGGTTGAAACCCGTGCGTTTGTGGAAAAAGTTGTTTTTCTCTGCAAAAAGAATCTGAGAACTTGTTTACTGATTTTTTTTATTAAAAGCGTTATGTGAAAAATGCTATGCTAAAGAGCTCAAACCACACCGAGCATCCACCATTTTGAGAACCAAAGAGAGACAGCCCATGTCACGTCAAGGGGCCTCCCTCCCATTTTTCTTAAAGAGACACGCTGCTCTCTCCCTCACTATCCATCCTTGGGTTCAAACAGTCTTATACTGCCATCCGGTGGTCAAAAAAGTACTGCACTCAAAACAAATTAACTAACATTTCTTCTCAAATGTGGCAACAATTACTAATTATTGTCCAATTTCAAACAATATTATCGTTTATCGCAATAATTTCTGAGACAGTTAATCGCCCAGCAAATTTTGTTATTGTGACAGGCCTACTGTCACTGCTATTTGACTTTAGTAAACACAAAAATGACTAACTCTTCGCTCTAAATGAGATCTAGAAGAAGCTGAGTGTCACTCAGATACACACTTTGATTGCTAACAGATCACTTTAAGATAGCTTTGGGGTAAATCTGCATGTTTTGTAGGATTTTACTTGTTTGGTGTATCTGTAAGAAGCTGTTTCATGATATAAGTTTATGACAACTGGCTCAAGTCTTTTTGACTGTAAACCTAGCTGTTTTCAGCATAGCAATAAAATCACCATTGTAATAAATAGCATCTATTTGTTTGTGTTTTGTTTGTTTTTTAGGGACGAAGCCTCAGGTTTTTGTTATGTGAACGATGCTGTGCTGGGAATCCTGAAGCTGAGAGAGAAATATGAGCGAGTGCTGTATGTGGACGTCGACCTGCATCATGGAGACGGTTTGTTTCAAACCGCCCTGTCCTGAGGAGGGAGTCCAGCTGCATACAAACAGCAGATATTTTATTATTTTTAACCTGAAGTTTATTTGCGTGTGTTTTATCTTTCCTGAGCCCAGAAGCGTTACAGGTTGGAAACCAGAAGCCTGACCTGTCCTCTCTCTGCAGGTGTTGAAGAGGCCTTCAGCTTCACATCCAAAGTTATGACGGTTTCTCTGCACAAGTTTTCTCCTGGTTTCTTTCCTGGTCTGTCCCTCCACATATTTCAGACATGATGTTTTCTCAAAAGACAGTACTGAAAAGTGTGTGTGTGTTTAGGCACAGGTGACCTCTGTGACACGGGGCTGGGGAAAGGCCGCTGGTACGCTGTGAACGTCCCATTTGAGGATGGCATCAGTGACGACAGATATTACCAGGTTTTTACCAGGTACACACACTCACACACACACTCAGAAGTTTTTTTTTCCCCCTCCCTCACAAACGCTTCACTCTAAAAGGTCAAAGGTCATGTGTGTAACTGCAGTTTCAGCATTTTTCTGCTGATTCTTCAACATGTGCGTACATCATTTTTGCTACGAGTCTGGATTTTACCAAAAATGTAATCATCGTCTAAAACTGAAAATTGATGGTATTATTGCTAAACACAAACCTAAAGGTTTTGTGGTAGATTAAACCTTCACAACCCTCCACCCCCAGTCGCAGAGTGAACAAGGGTCTTAGATATACCCTCCGTTCGGTTCATCTTGTCACCATAATAACATGATAATAAGGAGGTACCGACTTCCATTTTCGTGTAAGAAAGTTTCCTTGTGAAAATTGTGTTGCCTTGTCAAAATCCAAGATGGCTGCCTCCATATGTATATATGTAAACCTTGTGAGCTAGATAACTTAAAAAAAACAATATGCTGACTTCCATTTTGGTGTGTGGCGGCCTCTATGCATAAGGAAGTTTACAAACA